AGCTACAACCATTGCCTCTACTTGAGAATGGAAATTTTTTGGGAAATTAATGCACCTTATCTGGGTAAATAGCGATCCATCGCATCTGGGCGAGCATAGAGACGGTGCTCGTAGTCTTATATAGCTGATCAGTTAAGATGGGATACTGTGTCAGCTTTTAACAGTTAAAGCATTTAGTGCTAATTAAAGTTATTTTGATTTGTGCATTTGAAGGCGGTCATAAAATTGTCTTATCCACACTTACTGAATTGTTAGCAGACTACTTTGCTATTGACTGCATCCATTGTGGACAGAGTTCTAGAAAAAATGTCTCAATGGTTTGGATAAAATATGTGTATGGCTCTGCAAAGTCTCCAATTTACATATCAAATTATTTAAGCAGTGACGCAAATACATAAACTGGTCTGGCGCCACAATTTGTACTGATACACACCAGGTCGCAATTCGCACGCGAGTCCTCTGACATTTTGGCATTTCTCTGCATTGGTCGTGGATTTTCTACCTCATAGTTTTCCTCCACTGGTCTTAGGATGATAAACGTGCACGAAATTGCGCGCGCAATCGCGTGCACCCACGCGGTATCAGTGGCAGAAACCTCCCAACCAATCACTTTTCGGCGTCTCACAAACCTGGTTTCTAACACATGAACACCACCCCAGCAGACGCCAATGTACAGACAATGCCGTGGATACTTATCTCAAGATGCTAATTTCCAATATCCTCATTTTGGCATACTTATTTAAGGCTGCAGGCACTAATGAGAGCTTTAATGGAAATGGTGAGCACGGAATCAATGTTAGTTTTTCCTTGGATGAAGAGTTGCCCGTCGGCACATTGATAGGAAGCCTTGCTGAGAAACTAAGTCCTAGAACCTCTATAGCGTCTGGAATGCAGTTTACACTTCTCGGTCAGGAACGCTACATACGCCTGAATCAGTCATCTGGGCAACTGTTTGTACGAAGCCGAATAGATCGCGAGGCTCTCTGCGAACAGGTGGGGACATGTTGTACTTCTTCGCCTGAACCATCAAGCGCATTTACTCACACATTTGACACCAACGATCCAAGCTCCTTGTGTACACTTCGACTTCTCGTCATAGACCAAAGAGACCTCAATCCTTCCAGTCAACCTCAACTTGTACATATAACTTTTAACATCATTGACGTAAATGATAATCCACCCAAGTGGTCACCAGATAGTTTAGAAATTGAAATTCCTGAGCATAGCCCAATCGGGACGGCTGTTCAACTGCCCGAAGCGACGGATCCGGACCAATTTGTAGAAGGTTCTCCGATTAGATATGAGCTGCTCCCTCAGGTTGAAGGTAGTAATGATTTTTCAAACTACGATTCTCGCAGTATCACTGATTTGTTCATTCTTTCCATCACGCCCGTCGCTCAAGCCTATGAAGAAATGCAAGGAGTGAGTCTTCAGTTAAAAGTTAACTGTGATCTGGACCGAGAACGTCGAGACTCATACCGCTTACTACTAATTGCTATCGATGGAAGCAGTAAGGGTATAGCATTTGGGGACAGAACCGGCACGCTAAACATAGTCATTAAAGTCACCGATATAAACGATCAGGCACCGTTCTTTCCTGATACCCACCCTTTAATTGAGGTGTCAGAAGATGTTGCGCCTGGGACCCAAATATTTATGATGACAGCGAAAGACAATGATCCTTCAGACATCAGTCGGTTAACCTACGGATTTGGTTCGACAGCAAGTGGGGAAGTGCTGCGATTGTTTTCTATTTGCAAAAAAACAGGTGCTATCACTGTAATTCAAGATTTGGACTATGAGGTGGCCCCCTTACTACCCGAAGCACGATCACCTACTTCCACATACGCTGTGCAGTCTGGCAAAGGAAAGGAGATAGGATATGTCATTCCAGTTAAAGTGACAGATGGCGTGCACTTTGCGCAGGCCGATCTTCGTATTCAGTTGAAGAATGTAAATGATAATCTTCCCAACATCACAGTCCATTCGCATTTACCTCGATGGTGCAACACGAATGACCTACTTTTGCCTGAAGATGCTGCAGTTGGAACAATGATTGCGACAATCATAATAGAAGATGCTGACGAACGATGGGTGGAAAGCAAAGGTGGCTCAGGTTTTGGTGATGCTCAATGTGTTACAGCCCACCCGTTCTTCGTGGTTCAGCCACTTTTTCCCGGTGCGCGCTACCAGTACATGCTTGTCACCTCGCGGCGTCTGGACAGGGAAGCCAAAAATACACACACTGTGACTATAGCTTGTCACGATTCAGGCCAGCCAGTGCTCTCAAGAGGTGTGCATATTATCATTCATCTAGAAGATTTAAACGACTCCCCACCAGTTTTCATTCAATCTCTTTACCATTCAAAAATTTCCGAAAATCTGCCAGTCAATACGCTAATAGATAAGGTCCAGGCAAATGACGCGGACATTGGTATAAATGGAGCGGTTCGTTACTTGATCAAGACTAAAAGTGGTCCGCGAGAGTGGGTTAGACTAGATCCTGTGTCGGGGCAAATGTACACGGCTGCAATATTTGACAGAGAAAAGATGGAATCTATCAATTTTACAGTGATAGCCGTGGATTGTGCGGGAGGTGCGTCAAATACAAATGACAGTGGAAAAGCATGCAACTCTATTCACTCCGCCTCTGCCACTGTCATAATTTCGATTGAAGACGTTAACGATTGCGCCCCAGAATTCGATCAAAGCACTTATGAATTTGTAGTGAAGGAGGGACAACGACCACAACAATCAGTACGTTTTCATGATATTAATAATTTATGAAGACAGATTATGTCTTACGACGATCCAATGGTAATTGTTCATGGCTGCACTGGTTCCGCTACGCATATCCTACACAAGGTGCCAATAGTGTCCCTAACAACATTTTGTCTTAACTGGCATATTCCAACTTTTATGCGATGACGAAGTGTTTGAGTGCAGGTTTTTGTGCCCAAAGCCTTTCAGTGAATGCAACACCAACATTCATCAAAAATGGAATTTTGGGACAACTCACACTGTTTGCCGTAGTATTTTTCACACAAATGAACAGCTTTGAAAAGCACAAATGTCAAATCAGCTTTAGATGGGGAAGATTGTAAACCTCCAATAAAATAGTTAGTAGCCTTTATTGGGTGAGAAATGAGCGGGTATGCGTTGACAACGGAATTGTAGTAGGTTTTTGGAAGTGATGCATATGACACGCTTCATGAGTCAGTACAAGTTTCCCGGTTGGTTGGCATGAGACTTGATTTATGTAAATATATGCCTATTTTTGGACAAAATTACGACTTTAAGAATTCATTTGTCGCCCTTACTACATTAGTAAATTGAATTGAACCGCTCAAGATCAGATGGCAGATGTTACTACAAAGGTGAAAAGTTTTGTTCAGTTAGTTTCCAAATTGCCTCATTTCAGTTACCACAGCACATTCCATAGTTGTGAAAGAGGAAATCACGGATGCTGCCTGATTAGGCCAAGTGAAAAGTAAGGTGCCGAAATCTTACAATACTGCTACAGTGATTCTCCCCACACTTTATTGAGTCGGTTTAAATAAGACGCAAAGTTACGCACTGCTTTGTCGTTTTTATTTCTGTTAACACAAATTGAGTTCTAGCAGCCAGTTTTGGCTAAGGGCCTAATTTTTCTCTTTTTAGCAACAGATTTCGGTCAATAGCGTAATAACCTCTTAATTTGTAGGATTTCTAGCTGAATTCGATGATATTGTGAGGTATTTACGTAAATACCAGAAGAAGAAGAAGGGGAGTGAAGGAGCGCAGCTTAAGTTTCGTGACAATGGTTTCGAAGCTCACGAGATGTACCATGGGTTTGATAAACAGCTTTTGGTTATTTAATTCTCGCATAGTTTGAATGCCATTCACTCAGAGCAAAAGTATCAGGAAAATTTGGTGATTGGTGTTCTAATGTGCGGCATTGGAAGAAAAACCTGTCGGTTGTTCCGTTGGGTGGGCATGAAAAAGTGGTGTTTCCTTACGTTTGACAGCCTATATGGCCACCACTAGTGACCCTTAGTTGCGCTCTGTGCCCGACTGTAGCACCTACTAATGCTCTTTGCTACCTAGAAAGGAAGGACATGTAGTCACATTATTATGAATGATTTAAAAATGTATAGACAATAAAATGGCTTTCGTTTTTCCCCATAAATCAGGTAACCTGGAAAGCTGCGGTTTCCTTATTTGCACAATCTTTACAATCTGTTTGAACATTTTGGGGAAAAATTAATAATAAACAATAGTGTGATAAAGCTCAAGTGGGCATAGCTACCTAAGTAACAGTTTGCAGGTAGTAATCTTTTTAGTTTTCCATGCTTTTCTTCAGTCGGTTGTAATCCCTGTCCATCAGAGCGCCCTTTCAGTCATTCCAGAAGGAAGGCAAAGTGCTTGAGGACTGATTATTTGGTGCTAACGCTTTAACTAGACAATAAGCTAACGCCTTTCCAAACCTTTTATGCACTCACACAGGCATACCAGTAAGCATTAAATGTTTGCTCTAAGGTGATGCAAATAGCTTCGTTGCGGCAAATCATGAGATCCCTGCGTAGCACAATGGGACCCATTACGGCATCGTGGACCGCAGACATGAACTTACAACTCGTGGTAGGCGCAAGTTCACGACGTGCATTTCACTTCCAGAGGGTGCTTGCTCATTTACTGTTAGAGCAACTTAAGGCTAGGGGTCAACTAATAAACGGACTTGAGTATGCAAGCATTTCGTTGCAAAACACGACAAGTTCCTCAGTGTTGTGCTGCCTATTACCCAAGCTGTTTGTTGCGCTCAAGATGTAAAAAGCAATGCAATACTGCAGGTCTTTGAGGAAAGCAGGACTCTGACGCCGCACCTTCAACCGACATTAGTGTGCAGCATTAACTTGTAGCATAGATTTTAGCTAGAAAACACTCGCAGACTTTATAGTCATAGCGTGTTATCTTTACCTTCCACACAGTTTATTTCGCAACTCCTTTCCAACCTACACCAATAAAGTGTACACGCAGAGATGTGGTGATCGAATCAACAGCTAGTGTGGTAGCAGCGCTTAATGCTTATTACTTTTGGTCATTATGACTACGCATTTTATGTCTTTCTTTTGAAAATTAATGTGCGTTCTTTTGCAAAGGTTGGGTGCTACGGTAATTATTTCCGCAGCACTTTTTGTAAGTCCAGAATTAGTAAATCTTAGTTGGATGTGGAGTCATAGCTTAAATGCTTTTACGCGTTCAGGCGACTGTCAAAGGCAGAGTTTGTGACTTTCCGCCTGGCTGTTGGAGGAGAATGAAATAAATCAAAACATTCGTTGGTTAGCTAAGATTAGCTTGTGGCGCCATGTCTAATCTGCCCCCTTTGGGAATGTCTCGGAGATCCTGGAGGGTTTAAAACGCATGCATTTTATAAAGCCCAAATTCGTAAAAATAATAATTCTTTTATTTACGAATGTATATAACATTGAAACGGTAGTCGACCAAAAAAATGATCATCATTTATCAGTGATACGAGCGGACACTTCATTCCATGTCGCAACAGAGGAATGACTTCGCTCTTCTGATGTTACGCTTACAAACATTAGTATTACATCAACTGTAGGCACGAACGCAAACGCAATGTCTAAGGTTTGCCCTTAACACCACATAAAAGGGGAAAAATGGGCCAATTCACACCATCGTATGCGCATTTTCAAACACTATACGACAACTGCTCATTCATTGTGAAATACATTCAGAAATGATATCACTGAAGTTTCTTCGTGCATTATAAACCAATTTGTGCAAAGTAATTTGCCCCATTCATTCAATGGCAAAACCTACTTGCTCTTTAAACCAAAGTGAACTCCCCAACACTTGAGCACCACAAATGCGCTGGGACTAGTGCTCGCCTTGCTGCCACACGGAGGCTTTTTTTAATATTCCGTTCGCAGGCTAGTGTCAAGCCGTAGTCCAAGTGTGTTCACCTCAATATGACTTTTAACAAATTTTAACAAAATGCAACTCTCTTGTCATGTCAAAAATTGAATAATGAAATATAGGAGGAGGCTTAGTTTTTAAAAAAGTACGTAACGGTTGCATCAAATTTAACAAAGATAAGTCCGCTTCAGACCATTTTATAACTAAGGCCACTTGGACCACAAAGGGGGTTGATTGCATAATTTCTTAGTCATAGCCGCGAAAAAAGTGGTGAAATGGTAAGGCCAAACACTGCGGAAATCCAAATGAAGCGCCAACTGGAATAGCGACATTTTTCGCTGTAATACCGCTTAAAGGCAATACATTTGCTGTATTTTCTTCCCATGAAGCGTAAACCAACTTGTTTAGGTTGGGCAATGAAGTGCATTTGATATATTATTCTTGGAGTCAATTTAGGGTACGATTTCTGTTCCCATGCAAGAGCTTATAGACATTTCATTGTTGACTTGCAGATCGGGTGCGTGCATGCCAATGATAATGATGCGGGCGCAAAGAACTCCCGCGTTCAGTACAGCATAATTGAATCCGATCATCCTCAGTCTTTGCACTCCGTCAGCGATATCACCGGCGAATATCGTCCTGGAAGCCTATTTGCAATTACTTCAAATGGAGAAATTTATACTCGCAATTTACCCATAGATCGAGAGAAGACACCCATTTTGAGTTTTACTGTGGTTGCTGCTGACTACGGACATCCTTCACTCTCGGCATTTGCAAATGTAATAGTCCGCGTTCAAGATGTCAATGACCATGCCCCAGTGTGGATTTTTCCCCAATCTTCCAGTAGTATCGTCGTACGAGTCAATATGTCTTGCCATGCGACTGTCGGGAAGGAAATAGCTCACCTTAAAGCCATTGATTTAGATAGTGGAGTGAATGGAGAAATAGAATACTCGATTATTAAGGGCAACGAGAAGGAATATTTTGCATTGGATAAAGCATCTGGTACCCTCTACCTTGCAAAACCACTCGTCAATGGACCAAAACAAATAATGATCGATTCGAATTTGTCCAAATCGCACTCTCTGGCTACAATCGAAGATTTCACACCTCATTCATTTGTTTTAGCCCTTAAGGCCTCAGACAAAGGCAAAAAACCTCGAAGTAACACGACCATACTTAAAATTGATGTTATCCACAATGAGAATGCTGAAAGGTCCCTTTCACAGTTCACTCACTTCAAAGAACTCGGCAGACATATGGGCAATAATCCATCTAAACTCGGAGTTGGTGTCATCGGAGACCGAGATCTGTTGATAATTACAGCCATGATAGTGGTGGCTTTAATTATTTCGTTTGTACTTATTGCAGCAATCGTATTTTTACGCTGCCGGCAACCCACCAGGCGTCGACGGAGCATCCTAATCTATAGAAATAATGGTGAAGGAGGATTGATGAAGAGATTAGAATTCCTAAATTGTTTGAATGGGGCGGAAGTAGCTACGGAGAACAAAAGCCGACAAACAGCCGCCTTTATACTCACTGACACGGAAAGAAACCCTAATTTTGAGGAACACTTACCGAGTCATCACTACAGTTCAAGCAATGGTATGTTCAAAATTTTCTCTTGGGAATCATTTTATCCTTGCACACACACACACATCTGTTTAAATATGCTAGCGGAAGGGGCGCAAACTCGGCACCTTTCGTGGAGCATCATTTGCCTGACTCTGTTCTCCCTAAGTGCGCAGAGTTGCATAACAGTAATGGAGCTCAACCCGGATTTGTGGTTTGACAGCTCTTGCTTAATTTACACAAAATGAAAATTAGTCCGTTCATGGTGTTTGGTTAGTACGCTGCAATATGGAGTAGATTAACAACCTCATGAGATGGGACGCCTTCGGTTAATAATTTCGCTATTCCGATTGCATCGGCTATATTTTGAGAATTGGACTCGAATTGTTTAAAACTATTAATGCAGTTAAATGTTTTTTTTTTAATAGTCAGCCAATCACCTCAGGTGACACTTTATCGGTGTGAAAGCGATGAAAATAACAATGCACTCGATCGCATTTAGCCACTCAATAAAGATAAATTGAGGGACTCTGCATTTTCAGTCAACACTTTCACCTGTCAAACTGCTTCCTTATCTATGGCAGATCAGAAGAGGATGGTACCAATTCTTTCTGGAGAAGCACTCTTTTCAATGGAACTAACGTTATCAAAATTAGGTGAAACGAAAATAGTTAGTCGTTTAGAGAGTGGAGAACCCAAACAACAAAAAATGCAATTGGTTGTAACTAAGATTTGCATTATTCGGAAATGTATTTGTGATGGAAAAGACGCTATATTCTCTTCTCTCTTCTAGTTGTAACTTGAAGCGAGGAGATTGAGTAGTCGTAGATTACGTGGTTTTGCAGAGGTCTGTAAGTCCAGAAGCTCTGAGAAATCGACTGCGACCACAACTGCATGCTCAGCTTTCTTGCTAGTGTGCTATCTGTGTGCTCACTTCCGATTTGCCTTCTGTCCATAACTTTGGTTGGCTTTAATATGGCGTTAACTTTCAAATATCAAAATGACGCTAAGCCACACGAGTTACGGTTTAAGCACGCAACTTAAATATTTTTCAGCTCCACTTTTATTGCCACAGGACATTAAAATAGTTCCATATCACTTTGAGGTGAACGGTATTGCATCTCACAAGTTTGTAACATTTGCACAAATAATCAGGCAACGAACCGGCAGTTTTAAGACTCCATTTTAATATCAGTACAAGGCCTTAGTATCAAAATACCGCCAATAAGTACCCACTTTTTGGTAGCCAAACTCGTTTTTGGTCTGCCTTTTAAGGTTGCCTATTCGAACACTTTTATCATTCTATGTGCATTCACTTAATGTGGGATCAAGAGCATGAGCTCATCAAATGGCAGGTGCCGTGATGTTGGAGAAGGCTCAAAAGCACCGACGAGTGAAAAAGGCTGGTCGAGGGACCGGCTGAGAATCTGTTGATGTAGCTTAGCGGCACTGCAATTGGGTTTGGTGGAGCAATACTGCTCCATGTTTGCACGAAATTTGTTCACGCACGGACTACAAAGGTTGGTACGCCTTTCCTCACTCTACCTCGCTCACGGTCACGAAAGAACGCCTCTCTGCATTCCACACCCACCGTGGTAGGCAAAGATTGCTGAATAATCTGAAGTTTGTCGAGCAATCCGTAAGCAACTCCATACGCTCAGCCAGAAATTTCGTATCTTTGTTTGGTTTAGATATGTCAGCCATCTCAATGACAACACTTTAACGCTGTTTACGTTTTCTCTCAGCAACTGTGTCAAGCAGCTCGAGAAAATTGTAATCGTCTCAAGAAAGTGTTTAAGTTTCCTTCACGCGTGAGAATTTGTGTGATTCTCTTGCCGTCCAAATTCCACATTATTAAATGCATTGTCTGTTAAAAGCTTTTTGAGGACACTGTTTGAATTGATGTTCACGTTGTTTTGCGAGGCTATTTTAAGGCAATTCGTATATCCCACACCTTATTTCCATCGTCCATGCAGGCTGGCATCAGTCGTTTAATTGACACATTTTTGTCGCTGGGCAGGGCGTGATAGTGTCTCCAACTAGCTGGTTTAGCTGCATGGAAACTGCGTAAAGAAATGCATGTTCCATTTTTGGAAAGAAATATGGCATTTTAGTGCAAACCCATGCTTGATTGATTGCGGTCAATCTACCGTAAGCTTCTGCCATTTTAGCATCCACTAACAATTCGAATAGTAAGCAGTGAGAAACTTTTTACTAAGGACGGCCTTTAAGTGACTTTTCAGCTGATTGAAAATGCATGCCTTTGTTCGTAAAAATCAGGAGTTATGTCTGTTTAAAATCTTCAGCCTTAGATAATTTTGCGACTGAGAGGCTTCCTTTGCTTCATAATTCAAAATTTCATAACTAGGACACGAGCGCTCCATTCTCTGAATGTCATTGCCAAGCGAAAGCGCACAAATGGATGTATTTACTTTTTCTTTTTCTTTTTCTTCTTCTTCTTGATAGCAAGGCCTAAAATGTTTTGGTTCTGTCGGTGTAGTTGTGCTTTCCTTATTTTCAAGAGATTTGGCGAAAAACGCTCACAGTAACTGCGAAATAAGATTCTGCTTACATCTTGACTCTGATTTACATTCTCCAATCACGACTGAAGGAAACCTCTCAGTGGACGATATTCCATGATTCACTACTTTGTGTTGAATCTGAAGGCGCCATGATACATTGCAAAAGGACTTCAAATTTGCACGGCAATATATTGAATGCTTTTTCAGAATTTTAAGTCGGCTAATTCCTACTACTATCCACTCAGGACGGAAGTTCTGAATAAAATTGTGAATACCGTACTTTTCTATTGACCCCAACTTTTAGTTCAAAGGGTTCTATGAAGCGACATCGCTTATCATTTGTACGTTCCGAACATTTGAAGCAATCTTAAGTAATTTCAGCCACGAAACATAGTTTCAAAGGCAACTATAAAAGAGAGGAATTGGTTTCATTTCCATGCGCAAAAGAAACTTGCTCGAGAGGTCATACGCTAGCTTTCAGTGACTGATCTTCACAATCTAGACCACTTTAGATCATTAAATGTTGTATTCTTTCCGTGCCGAAAATGTAATACCTAATGGTTCATTATTTGCACTAGTTGAAATAGAAAACTTTCACTAGTCTAACAGGTCATCCTATTTAGAAGCGGTTAATACTACTTCCTATTCGATTTACAGAAACGCCAGTGCATGGGACGTCTCATCCGGTGCATCGTGACGGCAACATTTATGGCAATTTTCATCCAACTGTCCTTCTCACATCTTCTAATGCTTCAAATAGCAGAAAATTGCCCATTATCACGACATCGAGTGAAGGTGCACCAATCGGCTACATGATCAAGTCTAATCCTACCAACGCTGATACCAAATTCGTTGCTATTGAGGCAATGGTCCAAAAGCAACAAATGAGTAGTGACGACGCTTCATCCAGCTCGACCGATAATGCTAAGTCCACCTACAATAGTCTTTTATACCGACTGCCTGACGGAGGCTGCGCAACGGTAGAAAAGAACTACATGACAATTAATCCTGAGCTCTTCCAACACAGCATCTATCGAAAGCTCCGTGCTCATGAAGAATGGAACGAATCTTTCATCCCAGTGAACAATCCTCAGGAGGATAATAACGACGCAAAGAAAAATGGTGTCGTTGTGACCCACAAGTCTTTACCGGTATTGGAGGGAGAGGTCGAACGCAAACAGACTGTGAGTTCCAAGGGGAGTGAAGCGAAATCTAGGAAGCACTGCAGATTTGTTATGGTAGGGAATGCAACGGAGCTCAGTTTACTCTCCCAATCAAATGACACACAAAAGCCGTCTGGTAAGTGAAGGAAAAGACGCCTTCATATTTAAGGCATTATGGCTGTATCGCCAGTAAAATGCAAGTAAATTGCTTTCACTGGCACCTTTTGTGGCTGCTTGTTTTGCGTGAAGGATGAAAAGAATATGCAGAAAAACACCTAAACTATTCATTACTGTGTTTTCAGATGCGTGGAAACCGATTGATTTTGTTGAGCGTAATGAGCCACGAAAAAACAATTGGTGAAAATTCTTCACGAAGTTGGAAGATCAATGCCTCATTAGGATTGTACTTCCTCCAGATGCATCTTTCTAACCAAATCTACATTTTTCTGAACATTCGATGTTTCCTTAGCTCTCGTTCAAAAATGCGAAGCCTTATGTTTTCAAAGAAGACTCGAACTCAGCTGCAGCGGTAATGGCAAGCAAACCCACTTCGGCCGAAGAAAAGTCGCGATAGCCTTGACTTATAATCACTTAACTTAGAATAAAATTAGGACTACTGTTATTAGTGAGAAGCAGTGCATTTACAGGAAGCTTCCAATGATATTTATCTTTTGCAAAACTAGCAAAATTGCCTCTCCGTAATTAATCGCGTAGAACGATACTAGATTTTGAAGAAGTACAATTATTCTTGGAAATTGTGACCCGCAGCACGGCCTCAAAATAAGAGCCTCATCTTTCGCATAGTTTGATTTAATTTCCAAAGGCGCTTTACAGAACAAAGTACAGAAAACCGAATGGTTTATTAAAGAGCTTATGCCGGTACAGGTTTTCCAAAGCATTAAAGTGGTATCTGAACCTCCTGATGCTTCCTATTCGGTGGCAGAAGGAGTTGAACGTGAGCAAATACATATATGTATACGATAAGGGTAGAAAACGAGGCTATGACCTGGTGTGAAGATCGTTTCAGGTGGTCAAAGCAATACGGCCGCCAAAGTGAGTGTGAGTGAGTATTACGGCACCAGCGTCTAATCAACCCAACATTCGAAAACAAATTGCAAAGCTTATAGGACACTTCGTAGCGCCCTGAGACCACCCATCAAGTAGAAGGCATCTCGTCGGACAAAACACATCTATTCTAGAAGGAGAAGAAAGGATGAGGCCCTGACTTGGCTCGAAGGACAGATGACAAGTAAAATAACCGCCAGACATAAAGTGATCACATAGACAAAGTACCACACACCTAGTGTGACTTTTCCAGCTACTTAGTAAGGTAAGAGTATCACAGAACTGGCAGGAATCAAGGCAGAGTGGTGACTAGAAGCTTTTCTGCTAATGATTTGGTAAGCATCATTAGGTTCAACAAGTTCTCCAGCACACTAAGGATTACTGTTTAGTGTTGTGACACAAACTATTTTAGCTTCAGAAGAAGGACAATTAAAAAGGATGGAATTTTAACCATCCTTATTTATGGATACCGTAACTTCCTGCGTACAAGAGCGAGACATATCTTAAAGTGACAGTTAAACGCCAGGTGTTCACACAAACTAACCATTACAGATACCGTAATACCTAGAGAAACAGGAACGTCAATTGCTATAGCGTTTGGGTGGATTAATTTTTAAGCTTGCGTTAACAATTTTGGCGAATCTTAGTAATCCAGCTACATAAAAAACCTATCAAATGTGTGCAGGGGCATGAAAGACTTCTATTTATTGGGTGTTACTAGTGTGAAACATGGAAGATGCCCATGTCAGACAGTTCTCCGCGCTTTTACGTTATTTAAATGAGGTTTCGAATGATAATTTCAGTAGACTGTGCATTAACGTAATTCGATTATATCCTTTTGACGACTGTAATGTTTAATTTATGTGGCCACCTGACGTTTGGCGGTCACTTAAGGATTCGTCTGGCTGTGGCGTCCCGAGACTTCCCATAGGGTGGAAGAAGGCAGTAAGTGTGGCTGACTTCATGTT